CCAGAGGAGTTTTTTTACCACCCAAATGCAAAACTTTACATTTTAACATTTTGAAGTTGTGAGTGGACTTTATTAAAGTGGACCTTGTACTAAATTATAAGTCTGTTTATCAAATACCACCACATGTCAAAATGTTGCTATCCATAAATTTGTGATGCAAAATTAAGTTGTAAAAAACATACTTACCCTATCGTTGCACAGCAGACTGCGACATCACAATTCTTCCTACCAGATCCCAGGAACACTGAATATCCCAAATTACATAAAGGGACACTCCACCACAGTGCAGGAACTTCCTGTTGTGAGATTTGAGATCCTTGGCTTTCCAAGGATCTCACCAAGAGGATCATGAAATCACCCTCGCTTAGGCACTGCAGGCAAAAGCAGTCTGTAAGGAAAGTGGATATTGAAACGTATGTTTAAAGTGGATTGCAGTGTTTTGACATGGGGTAGAGGGCTAGTGTTGAAAATCCGGACCTTGGATTTGGGTACAAGGTTGCTTTAACTATAAAACCATTTAATGTGAAATAACTATGTCTTTAAATATGGTATGTCTAATAAATGTCATTTTGCTGACTGTTACTAGTCACCGGCAGTACAAGGGCTGTAAACACTGCCCAGCCAGGGCTAATGGGCTGAACAGCCAGCAGTCTGCTCCTGAGTATGTTATTCCATCCAGGGATTAGATACTGGTGGTGAGGGAGTCATATGGAGCTAGTTAATGAAAACTGCAGCTATTTTTTAAAGCAGACATAAACCCTAAATAAATGACATTTGATTTGCTAAAGCAGTGTGTATCATAAACAATTGCCATTTTTTAATAATTTTTTTCATCCTTTGTCATATCCTAGTGCTGCTGATTTTCTGTAGCCATTTTTGCACCTGCTTCCTGTTTACATGCACTCAAGGTAGAGCGGCATGATATTTTCTTAGGGCAGGTTTCCTGACTTGACTATTCCTGTATAATCTGTTTTGAAATAGCCACTTGTAGTCTTCCTCGGAAAACCCATGTGACAGAGTGACAACACAGGAGCACAATTGGTAAGGTGGGACAGCGTTGTCACCCTGTACCAGGAAGTGCCTGAAAAAGAACAATTATGGCAGGATCACCAAGCATTAGAAAGCAGCAGGCTTAAAGGTTTGAACATACTAATACTTTAAAATTAAAATAACATGTTAAAACATAGTGATTTTTTAGTGTTTAAATACTCCACTTAAAAAATCAACCCATTCTCAATAAACTCTTTGTTAAAAAAAATTAATAACCCCGTGATTGTTGACAATAAAGCTTGTTTGATGAAAGACCTTGCCTACCACCCTTCTTTTCAGCATTCTGATTTTTGCTACTGCACAGGTGGTCCTCCATACTACTGCCCTACTCACTGGAATCACAAAACTGTAACCCCCAAGCTCAGAAACATTGACTTTTGCTTGCATCCTCCATTACATTGTAACAGCTTAGACATTTATTGCCCTATAAATACACATGTCCAATGTATCTTGATGGTATGCCTGCAAGGGAAAGCATTAAGCTTGTAAAACAAGACAAATAGGATGTTAAAGGTATTAGCCATGCCTAGGATAATGTTTTATGTGTGTCATTTATAAATCCTTGAGTAAAATGCCGCAAGCTGTTGACAGTAGTCAGTAATTGTAGAAACATAAAACTTGTGGAAACAGATACAATCATAAAATCTTCTACGATCTCATCATACCTTGCAGGCAATTGTAAAACCAATTAATGGGGGGGACACGTCTAGGGTCATTTGGAGACAGATAGTATTTTCCTTCTGAAATTTTAAGACTTTGTTTACTTTTTCAATTTTGGAAAATGGTGAAGGGAGAATTAAAAGAGTAGCTATGAAAAGCAATATCTTCTGCTAGATATTCTTTTCTGGTTTTCTAGCCTTGTTCTGGAGTTAGTAGACGCAATATCTAATGTTATAATAGTTATACTTACTCTTGTAGTTGTGATGTGAAGGGTAGAATAATTCCTCCATCGAACAGTACTCCCCTGTCCAGGTCTGAAGAAGTCCCAGTTGCTTGTCTGGTACATTTGACTTTTAGGAGCCATCCTATGACAGGTAGAAGGGCAGACAATTAAGGCCAATAAGGGGTGTAGATGAAAAGCACAGCACCAGATATTAATTTTAGAATTACACGGTATAACTTTAAAACCAAACTCCAGCTTATAATTAAAAAAAGAATAGCCCAGGCAGTTAAAACAAAGACAGCTCTAGATGGAGTACTCATTTCCTTTATTGTGCTGTCCTTCTTACCACCACTAGATGTCCTCAGTTCTTTGGGTTAAATGACGCCCAGCATCATTCAACCCACTGCTTGAGAGTGTAGAGTGTCATGTAGCATCCCCACATCACCCTGCACTTAAATTGCATATGGCAGCAGTGAGTGTGAGTGTAGAGTGTCATGTAGCATTCCCCACAGCACCCTGCACTTAAATTGCACATGGCAGCACTTGATTTGCCCGGAGCTGTCACATGGTGTAGGAAGAGTATTCAGCCCTGTGTAAACATCAACTGAAGAAGTTAGCTAACACAGGGGGATCTTTCTTACCTCCCAGTGGCTGAACAGAAAAGGGGAAGTGGGGGATAGGTCAGTGTATACTGCTAAGATGGCATATCTTGTAGAAGTTATGCCAAAAAAGGCCTAAAGACATTAAAGACATTGCCTTATACAATGCCAAATCTCCTATGACTAACAATAATCAGAGGCAGGATTGGGTGGGATGTTTCTTAGATTATCTCAAAATGCAGATATGGAACGTTAGGGCTACAAGAACCGGAGTGCCTAGGCATAGTCACATGTCAGGAAGTGCACTGCTATTGTATGGAGGAATTCAAGGCAAATGTAAATTTTTCTGGGTACATTTCCTATGGAAAATCATGAACTTTTTGAGTAAAGGTACACATTAAAATGTAGCTCATTGTATTATCTTGCATGGGTAAGGCACCAGTTCACTTCAAAGAAAAAGTGTTCCTTTGCAATAAAAAAAACCAAACCTTATGTTCTTCACTTACAAATAATTACAACCCCTCCCCCTCATGCTGCCTATAAGGACTTACCTTAAATGATGCCTTACATATTTATATTTTAATCTCTGTACTGTTTCCTTTCAGTTCGGCTTTATTGAAGGAACTAATGCCTATTCTATTAGATGTATTTGGTTGCAGAAATATGAAAAACTAGTCATGCATTTTGTAAAATGGCAACTAATGTATTTTATGTGTAATGTTAGATTGTTGGTCATCATAACCCATCCCACTTCAGCTCTAGAAGTTGTTCTGTCTAGTGCAGCCATTCTCAACCAGGGTGCTGTGGTACCCCAAGATGCCTCCTGGCTTCCTTAGAGGGGTCTTGAAATTTTCACACAGCATCATGTCTTTTTAGGGAGCAGGTGAACTGGCTGTCGGCAGCATGGAAATGTGTGATGCTAATCCAGTGAGGGTGGGGTCCATTTGGAAAAGGATAGAAGTTTGCCTCCAACCAGACCTGCTCCACCTCCCACCCTTTGCCATGCTGCATAATGTGATTGCAGGACACTATTGTAAAAGGGGACTGAGGACTCAGATGTGAAAGAGAGTTCTGATGTGAAGGGGGAACTCTGATGTGAAAGGAGAAACTCTGATATAAAATGGGGGCTCCTGATGTGAATGGGGGCTTCTCATGTGAAGAGGGCTCCTGATGTGAAAGGGGGCTCCTAATGTGAAGGGGGAAACCCTACATTCTTTTGGTATTTGGTGATCATTTTTTTCATTTTTATATTTACATTTTTTACATTTTAGACTGGGGTGCCTCGAGATTTTGCATACTTTTAAAGGGTGTCATGACTGAAAAAAGGTTGAGAAACACTGGTCTAGTGAACATTGTAAGCTGTTTGCACATTCAAGCCACACATAAACTTTAAGACATATGAATCATCAAGAAAGAACAAGACTTCACTTTGGGCTTCTCTAGGGAAAGCCAAAATATATTTTCTTTCCTTCATTTCCAAACAATTTCCAACAAATTAACAATTTCCTTCACCTTTCACCCTTGTTCTATAATGATCTTGTTGTAATTAATCAAGTGATTAAACCTTGCTATTTCGAAGCACTATAATAATAGCTTAAAGTAACACTTTCAAACTTTAAATTGGAGATCTTTTAAACAAACTAAATCATTTTTAAATACAATTTGACATGCTTAGAATGTTGCGGTTGGTTGACCACAGATTTCATAAACCTCTGCAACAGTCTGTAATAGGCTGCCTTCACCTACGCAACTATTTACTCTATGGTTTACCACATGTAAATTCATCCCTTATGTATTCATGTCCTAGAACTTTATACCTATATGTATTGTTGAGAAATGAACTCATAGTGCACTGTTTGATGCTAAGCTTCAATTTTGACATGATGTCCCACGATTGAAATTAAGATCAGTTTTCTGGCCAGTTCTATGCTCTATAAATTTGTTGATTCATATATTGTATTTGCTGTATACATGGTTAACCTTTAAGTTTACTAATTTTATTTCATCTATTTTTTTTACTTGTGATGATTTCTATGCTAGTCCTATTTTATTAGACACCACGATAATGTATGGTATATTCTTATACATTATTGTCTTATAATCTAATTCCGTGACATCTGCATCTGCATTTGATATTCTACACTGTATACAGTGCATACTCATTATCAGTAATAAATACTGATTCAAATCTCCCATTTCATCTTTGCTGCCCTGATATAGGTGTACCCTTTAAACCTCCAAAATGCTTTGGCTTTTCATAATAAAAGACTCTCAATTTAATTAAATCTGGACATGTTCAAGTTGTGTTGCTTTCCTCTTTGCAGATCTAGGACTTAGCCTACTCAGTGGCACATACGTTAAGAAGCATTTTTTGTATTACGGATTTGTTTTCTGCGCGTTTATATCTGAACACCAAAAAATAAAATGAAATGTTTTACCTGCTAATTAATTTTTTTCTTTTTTCTTAGTTGGAGAACTATATTGTGGACAACATGAAGTCAGAGATGGTTCAGATGCAGCAAAATGCGGTTCAGAACCAGACGGCTACTATGCTGGAAATAGGAACAAGTTTGCTGAGCCAAACAGCAGAGCAGACTCGGAAGCTCACTGATGTGGAGACTCAGGTAGGTGACAGGGTCTCTGTGTAAGAGATAGTTGCCAGAGTAAAAGCAGGGCTGGTGTGAAAGCATGGTGTCTATATGGTTAGCACTCTTGCTTTGTAGCTTTATGTTGGTTGATACCCTACCTGGGTCATTTGTATGCATGACATTTATTTGTTCTCCACACCCTGTTTCTACCCCACAAATCAAAGAGATATTGGTAGGTATAATCTGTCTACCTGCAAAACTGCAGCAAGTGTGTGTGCATGTAGTGTAGGGACAATTGAATGTGAGCTCCTTTAGATGGCACAGATTGAGTAAATAAATTGTACTATTGAGAGGGGATAGCAGCAAGATTTCTGTTTCTGAGTCACTTCCACATCTATTACTTGGTTTCAGACTGGGTGCAGCAGTGAGCCCTGACCTAAGCAAAATACGGGGTTTATTGTGAGTGTTCAAAATCCCCATTACACCATCACGGTAAAAATGAAGGAGGACCTGTACTGTGGAAGCTGTGTCCAAAGAAGCAACCTAGGGGTAAAGAACTAGTCACCAATATTGCCTGGGAACTCCCTGCAGCTGATCTTTTTCGAGTGACCAACTTACCATGCCTTGTTCTACACTGTGTCTCTATGTGGAGGTGTCCATCTTGGTAGAGGAGCAGGGCTTTGCTTCCTGTCAAAGTTTCCACTTTGATGACTGGTGGGATAATATTCAGGAAACAAAAGAAGAGGTAGAGGAAACCCAGATCCCCAGAATGAATAAAATATATGCAGAGAGATTCTTTCACCTTGGATGAAGAACCTTAGGTACAGCTTCCTCTCCACAAGGAGAACAGTGAGCATCACTGTAGTGACATCACCAGATCTCACTCCAGATCTCTTAGGGTAGCAGTAAGAATTAGTGGTGCCTTAAGAGCACTGCAGATATACATCCATGAGACATGAAGGAATACCTAAGTACAAGAAGTTCATTGCTATTGTTCAGAAGTAATTTAATGCAAAAAGATGAATGCACATTTTTTTTCTGGGTACTGCATAGTTACAATTAATATTTATAGATATTCCATATAAGACATAAAATCTTCACTTTTTGAATTAGGATCCACTTGTAAAGATTATTACTAATAAAATCATCAATCACTTTTTTAAATGCTATTGTATGGGCAGAAGGAAATTTGATTTAGAATCCTAAATTTATCAAAAAGTTGGCATTATACACTAAAGAAAATAGTTATGATGATGACAATCTTTCACCCCTGGCTATAGCAGTAATACAATAACAGTTAAGATGATGGTTCCTTTATACAACTACTACAAAAACCGATGTCACATATGATACTATCATAAATATACTTATAAGCGTGTCAGTGGTACATGTTAAACAAATGATATACACTGAAGCTGGAAAAGTCAACACTGATGGTGTGTAACAGAAAGTCCCATGTTTTAGTGTTGTATTCCATGTAATGAAAACACTGAATGTGCCATTCATATAAAGGTTGAGGTCAGACAGTAAACTAAACAACATCTAAGTTCAAATAAACACTGGAACTAATAGCTGCGAGTGATACATATGTTAGCCAAAATAAATTTGTTCGTTCATCTATTAATTCTTTTTGAAGTAGATTATTAATTTCCGATAATGCTCCTCTATTTATTTTGCTTCAGAAATTCGACTCTGGCTTCACAATAATTGTACCTGTGACAATTTTACAACTTTGGCATGAACGAGCACAAAGATCAATGATTCAGCCATTAGGCAATTATGGGAATCGCTTGCCGGAGCGATAAAAAAAACAGTGTTTTTCTTTGTGGCTTCTTTTGCTTTATTAGAGTGCCCTGAAAATAAGACAACTGTAGTGTATTTTCAGTAAATTCGGCATTTTCAGTTATTATTTTAACATTTACCTGAAAGTAATTTTTGAGGAGCCTCACATTTTTTCTGGGTTGCTGGTCCATATTTTTTATTAATGCAGGTACTGTACATATTTGTAATTTCTTCCTCGACTGGTCATGTGTATAACAAGAAAATGTATTAATTTTCCTTTTTCGGTGACTACTGTCAAGCCAGAACTGTCAAGTGTTTTTCAAGTCACAACTTTTTTTTCTTAGTTTTAGTTAGAGTGGAGAGAGATTAGAACCCCTATTGGATATGTACTGCTATCCAGGACACTCTAATAGAGATTTTTCCCCCCACTTCCTGTCATGCTGACAGCATTTTACCAGACAGGAGGTGAGGGGAATGTCAACAACAACATCACAGACAGGAAAAAAAAACATATCCCTCCTTGAGGCTATAAGAGCCTCCACTTTTCTGGAAGCCTTTCCACAAGATTTTGAAGTGTGTTTGTAGTGATATAGGATTAGAAGACTTTCTTCACAATAATCATTCTATTTTATCCCAAATTTGTCTAATCGGGCTGAGATTAGGACTTTGTATCACTCTAGTTCCTCCACACCAAACTCTAACAAACGTGTTTATGGAGCTGACTTTGTACACAGTCAAGCAGGAACAGAAAAGGACCTTCCCCAAACTGTTGCCCATAATTTGGAGGGGTGTTCACATAGCTTTGTTCATACAGTGTGATATGATAGAAATGCTTCAATAATTTACACAAGCTGGATTCTATGGATTTCGAGTACTAACACAACAACTATTTAGAACTGCACTATTTTGTCTAAACAATTAAACTGAATCTAGAACACAGAAACAACTTCACGCCAAAGACAATTTGTCCTTTTCACAGTTCTAACATGCACTTTTTGGTTTATTTCAACAGTTATGGTTAAATTAAAAATCACAAGCCTTTATTTTATCATCATTTGAACAGAAGCTGGTCCAGCTGTTTTTAGATCCCTAAATCCCCCGGCTGCAAGGATTCTGCTGAGTACAAGAGTTATACCGAGCCGAGCCAAAGTGTGAAATAAAAATGGCTGTCAAACCTCATATATCCCACGAGCCAATAAGAGCTCACCATGCTGTCAAGCATGAGTTTCTGTCGGACCACCATGCAAATGCCAGGGGAGATATATAACTACAGCTTTACAATAACATTTACTTATGCTTCAATGACATGCATTCATAGCTTTTAGTTTGCAGTAATGCATCCTTACACAATCACGCTGTGCTTGTTTGCTATCCATCAAGGCTTGTTAGACTAGGTCATATATTTTTTTTTATATCCCTGTGTTAATATAACAGGACATTTTGAAAGATGGCAGTTTCAACTCAAGATTCCTTTTCTTTCTTCAAGGTTCTCAATCAAACTTCTCGACTGGAGATTCAGCTGTTGGAGAATTCTTTGTCGACGTATAAACTAGAAAAACAGCTTATTCAACAAACTCACGAAATTATAAAAATTCATGAGAAAAACAGGTAATACATTGACATCACACCATTCTCACTCCTACCAAGTAAGCTATGATTAATATTAAATTATACCTTTAAAATTGTAAAGGTGATCTGATTCCTCCTTATTGTTGCCTAATTTAGTTGCTAAAAAAAAATGTAATGGTAAAATTATAGATAATTTTTTTAGGAAGAACTGGTCAGAAGTATTGCTCTGATGAGCAAAATTGTGAGTTTTCACTTTGACAAAATGTCATCAAAAATTAGGATTTTCTGCGAACTGCAGTTTGTTAAAATGCCTTGCAGTCAACGGGCACAACAACATTAAGGTATTTTCTGGTGTTTTTTTAAGGGTGCAGTGGCCTTTAATTGACTCTTGAAAGTTAGGAAAGTTCCTTTCAACTCTCTTGAGCCTGTTCTTTTGCACAAACACGCTCGCCCTAATGGTAACCCTTATCCAATCACTTTTGCTAACGCTAAACCTACAGGGTTATTCACAAAAGGGTGAATAATTTGGAGAAGGCAGGAGAAGTGAACAATCTAGGACAACATAGCTGATTTGGAAAAATTATCCAGTTCAGCTTAGTTTCGAGTTCGGCTATGTTGTTCTAGATTGTTCACTTCTCCTGCCTTCTCCAAACTCTTCACCCTTTTGTAAATAACCCTGCTAGTGCTAACCCTAATACTCACCCTAACCTTAATGGTATTAATAACCTTAAAGTCATGGTCATCACTAGACGTGCACTCCTAGCTGAGGAAAAACTTTTTAAAGCAAACTTTGCCTTGCAGAATGGCATGGTGAGTCGATAATCTTTCTTTCAGAGAAGGTAAAAATTAAAATTTTAGCACAAAACTAAGTTTAAAGAAGAATGGCAGGAAAAAAATTATCTTAACCCTTGCAGTGGGGCTACTCCTGCACTGTAAGGGTTATGTGCTCCTTTTCATCTAGGTGCAAAAATAACAAAGTTATACTCACCTGAACCTCACAGCTGGCTGGCTGTTAGACCGCTCTCTCCATTCCAGTGATGGTATGCCCCTTTGTGCCCTCACGTCTAATACACAGTGTATTGGACGTAATGATTCACGGACATTATACCGCTGGAGCTGAGATGGAAACATGTTGGCAAGACCGGTCTAACAGCCAGCCAGCTCCAAGGATCGGAAGAGTATTATTGTTATTTTCACACAAAGATAAAAAGGAGCACGTAACCCTTACAGTGCAGGAGTAGCCCCACTGCAAGGGTTAAGAATTCTTTAACAAAATTGGTTGCACATTCTTTGGTCTGAGGGTGATTCTAAGCCCTAGAGGTTCGAAGTCACCTGAAATCTGCTGCTGCTCCATCTGCCTGACCTCATGTAACACATGCTGTCTCCTGAGTGTGTATAACAGCATTATGTACAATGGCCTGTAGTCAAGAGGACCATAGACAGCCAAAAGGCTCTGTGGCTAATACTGGTATGATTACTTAAAGCTGAACTTCAGACTGATTAGGCAAAACCTAATTTAATACAGTTGTGCAGTGTTTAAAAAATAATGACATGTATTTTTCATACAGCTAGCATACTTATGCAAATAATATTGTAAGTCTCAAAGGATCACCCTTACCACCCCCTCCGCTCTTCCAAAGACCTTCTGCTCTCTAGCTCCCTTGTGAATTCCTCCCATGCTCACCTTTAGGACTTCTCTAGAGTCTCTCCCGTTCTATGGAACTCTCTACTCCAATCTGTCCATTTATCTTCTACTCTGACTACCATTAGGCGATCCCTAAAGACTCATTTCTTCAGGGAAGCCTATCCCGCCTCAAACTAATGACTGAACCATCACATTCTCAAACAATTCATCCCCACACAGCTACTTGCTCATGTATCACTTCCCCCTCCCTTTAGATTGTAAGCCCTCATGTACAAGGCCCTCCTTACCATCTTGTCTTGAATTGTATTGTAATCTCTTCCTTATATTGCAAATCGCTGCACAAACTGTTGGCGCTATATAAATCCTGTATAATAATAATATCAGCCTCCCACCATCTCCTAAAGTCCTTTACTAAGATGAGACCTGGATCAGGATATATGCCGAAGTTTGTTTTAATGCATTTTTATATGGTTTCATATTGTGAGTATCACAAATTGCTTATGAATCTTTACCCTTGTGTGGTCTGCACTACTTGCTTCATAGACTGAAGCAAAAAGAATGAACCTAGCCAAGCATTATTGTGGATACTAGAGTAAGAGTTGGGAAATACATGACCAAAGAGGGCAGCGTGGATGCTGGGTCTCCATAACCATGAGCAAAGAAGGCTGCCAGACCTAAGGTTCTGCAACAGGACACTTTTTTATCATTAGAGTTTGCAGTAGGACAGTAATCATTAGGAAGAATTGCTAAACAATATAGCTTGGCGATGATTTAAATTGAGATCGGAGACTCAGTATATACAGGTGTTTGTGATCCCTCATGGAGGAAATTGTTATAACTTAATGGATCTGTAGTGAGACATTTGTTTGAAGATGTGTTGATATATTATTTTTTTTATTGAGAATGTCTAGGAGTTGTAGAGTATTGATTGCTGGATGTATTTTTTTTTTGTATTTGGGGATTTTGTTTTTGTTAAGGCTAATTCCACTGCAACCAACCATCAGTCTCATGTGTGTGGACCGAGCTATATATTCATATGTAGTAAAATGACCTGTTGGATTGGATACAAATTGATTGGATAGTTATGTAGGTGCTCATCCTCTATACAGTAGTTTAGTAAATCTAATCAGTTTTTACAAATTGCGTACAGTCAAAGTGTAAAGTCTATTGAAAATGTAAGCTCTAACCCCACAGGATGTTTGTGTTACTAGCCAAAAAAGCTTCCATTCCTTGCTATGACTTAATTTAGCTCTTCTACTATGGCCTGATTTTCCCTGACCTTATGACTACGGTCTAATAACTTCAATTCCATTGTCCAATAAGACTGCTTCAGTGGCAAGAAACGGCACTTTCAGTAACAGGAGAATTACACTTGCTGGACCTTAGTCAATAAAATGGGCAAAGTCAGTAATAAGTAAAACTAAATTGGCATAGAAAAGTCTAAGAGAGGGTAGGAGAGGTAACATTAGGTGTTCATATTCACAGACAGTACTTTGGGTTTCAGTCAACTTCTAACAGCTTACAGGACCTGCTGTTTCTTTACATTAGAGGATGGGCAGTCTGACAAAATGCTTCTGCCATAAAAAAGTAATCGGAGAGGAGCTGCCTCTGTTATAAATTTTGAAGATGAACTTCTGCACGGTACCTGTAGCTAGAGAGGTAAATTAGGGCTGGTCTTAAAGTGCTTTTACTGAGTATGTAAATATTTTCAGGTCATTGTCTGAGCATATACTTACTTTAGGTGACCAACAGCACCTTATTCAAGTCTGAGATAGAAGGTACTTGCATTATTCAAGCTACTCCTCTGGTCAAACTTACAGAGCTACAAAATACGTATTCCTTTTTTTACTGAAGTATCTCTACATGTGCTGAAGCTTATCATGCAATGACATACATGAAACTGCAGTTCATACATCTACCTTAATGTCATAATGAGCTGTTGGAAACAACAGAATTTAACTACCTTGACTACAGAAGGCTTTCAGCAAGCTGAAACATTTCTGTACAATTCACAGAAATTGAATTTTTTAAAATTTAGATTTTGTTATTGAAGGGAAAGCAAATAAAAATGAAGCTCAAAATATGTTTCATTTTATTTTACTCAACATAATCCATTATTTTGGTTTCCCCTGAAATGTGATTGTTATCATAAATGTCATTCACAGTAAAAGCAGAAGTATATTATTTTTACTTTATTTCATTATGACATGTTCTCTGTGTAATTTGGATTTTTTTCCATAACAATCCATTAGACACTTTGAAACATTTTGCTTAGAAATTCCCAGAGGTAGGTGCGCTATTGAGGTCTGTGCGATTAACTGACATAAGTGAAGACAGTATGAAATTAATGGAGCAAAACAGTGATGAAGTGATATTGTTCAACTCTATATTGGAGGGAATAATGTGTTCTTAATATATTTCTCACGAGGAAATAATCTAATTGGAATAGACACAGCAGAGTAGAGTTGAATAGGGATTGTTGGTTGTGAAGGAGAAGGATTTGGCCAAGGTTTTGTCTACCGAGTAGACTCTCCATCTTATATGTAAAATTTAGCTGGTGCCATTTTTTACTAAAGACTGTGTTACCTTATTTTGGAATACTGTCTTTTACCAGTTTGTAAGTGTTATGTGGAATGTTTGTATGCACAGAAGCATAGCAATAACATATGTATCATATGTATGATTTGCACATGTATGGCAGTAGTAGAAATATGATTCTAGCACTTGCAATTTTTTATTATAGTGGCGTGCAGCCGATGGCGCATATTACACGACACGCGCGCAAGTAAATACATAAAAACGCGCCATGCCTGCGTGAAACCGCGCCATGATGTGCGTGTTCGGTTGGTAAATGCATTTTTGCGGGTTAAAACGCGCACTGCGCGTGTGCGTGTTGGGCTTCGTAAATCAGCCCCAAAGTCTCCCCTCAAATCCCATTGTCCATGCAAAACAAAAAGGAAAAATTTGGTCAAATTCAGTGGATTTCTCTTCAAGAACCAATTGTTTCTTTTCAACTAAAACAAAAAGCTATTAAAAATTAAGTGCAACTGATTTTTTTGAATGGTACAAAAATGGTCATGATCTTAAACCACTATAGCACTGCGTGTAGGACCTGTATGGGTCTGCCTTCCTCTTCTGAGCACCTGAACATTTGGAGTTTGGAAAACATAAATCTCTGTTGTACTTTATTTATGCATTTATTTTTGTTTTATATGGTCAGGCTAAAACAAAGTTACGTACTTGTCTTTTTTTTTTATGTGAGCACTGCAGTCCTATGCCAATTTCCCCTTCCCCAGCTTCATGTTGGAGTTCTAGACCACTGCACTCTATGTTAGCTCTGTGTGTCCTCCCTGAGCAAGAAGCATAAGCTTCATTTATTGGAGTTGATTAGTTG